ACAGATATATACAGATGGTTTATGCCTATTATTATTATTATTATTATTATTATTCCATGATAAATAAATTCTACTATTATCAGACTTAAAGTAAATGGAAAAATCAAATAACAAACAAAAAAAATTATTTTGTTTGTTGACAGGTTTAATCAACATTGACAGTTTGATGAGTTTTATGCATGAATAAAAATGATTGTTTACAATTTTTACTGTATGCATGCATGTATGTATGTTGACATGTATGTATGTATGTATGCAAGTGTGTTTCACATGTGTATAAATATATATATAAACAGATGTATATATATATATGTGTACATTTGTTTAGTAACAGAATTGGTCATCCCTATCTTAATAGTATCTTTTAACTAATAAATTTTACAATTCAATGAGGCAAACAACAAATTGTTGTAGTCTAGAAGAAAGATTTTTTGTTTGTTTTTATTCTCAACTATTTGAAATGTTTGTCGACTAGCATCATTTCAGTTTTGGAAATGAACTAACCCCACACATAGATATATGTATATGTAGAAAAGTATAAGTGACAGCTGTAGTCAAAATTCTATGAATAATGCTTATTTAATGGTTTATGTATACTTAATGAAAATGTCCATTATTTGACAATGATATGTAATAGATTATTATCTATTTTCTTTTATTGGTGACAAGGTTTAAATACATCAAGATGAATTTCACTTTACTAAAAGAGAATGTTTAATTAAATGGATTTTCACAAGTCAATAGTTATCTGGACTCAGTAGTTAAGGAGATAACTCGATAGCGAAAGGTACTGGATTTGAGTTCCGAAATGAATATCATGTATGAGATGTAAATACATATTACTCATAGGTTTAAAACAGGACAAAACAAGAGTAATGTATTTCACTACTAGCCACCATCGATCTATGTTTATAGATAAAGTTAATTTATTGTAAAATATGATATTATAAACCGAATTAGTTTTGATGTACATGCATCTCTAAGACAATTATTTCTTCAATAGATGTTAAAATGCAAGATAATAAGTAGAAAGTGTTATATATAACTAAATGTCGACACATTTTTTGGGTATTCTTTTGAGCTCAGATCATTGACTGATTGATTGTTTTTAACAGATTTGTTTTTATCCATAGACATTTTACGAAGTACATTCAACAGTGATCAGCTCTGTAAACTAGGTTTCATTTCACTCGTCCAAGAATTTTCCAGTTAGATGTATTAAATGTTAAAACATAAAAATAATTGCTATAGAGTTGTAGAAATTTTTGTACTTTTTATCGAGATCATGAACCGATCAATGAGAAATTAGAATCACTGGACAACTGTTTCGTCCAAGTATAAGACTGCTCATAATCCATAATCGCCGATGCTTTACTTGAACCCAAAATTTTCAGTTTCGAACAACTGCTTAACCTTTAGATTACTAAAAAGGAATTCAAAAGTATTGATGTATAACTTCAACAATAAAAGTGAATTTTTATTTTATTTTAACAGTAATATAAGTACTCAATATGACGATAAATAACAAATAAATTATTTCAGTAGTTCAGATAAACAGTCAATTGAAGTTAGATTACCTTGGAAAACTTGGAAGCAGTGGACGGCTGTTCCGTCCTATTGTGGGACTGGCTTCAAGAGGTATTTCCTGAAGTTCTAGTGAGAAGTAGTGAACACTACAGTTCAACCGGGTCTGTTGTCAGATAGTAACTCACTGAAGATAATGGTGGATGTGTCACTTAATTTCGTGGATTAGTTGAAGTTAGACATTAACACAATTGGATTTCTACCGGTTCAGTGGTGTAGAGGTCAGGCGCTCGTGCGTGAGAGTGATAGGTTCTGGGTTAGAATCTCGCGAAGTGGGACTGTGGACGCGTACTGCGACTGAGGAGTCTCTTGATAGGTCGAAATGGTCATTCAATGCTTCTAGATTTTCGATGGTGATATAGCTTCAGTTGGTTCATGATCTCAACCACTGAATTTACTCTAATATCTACAAAAACCCTTCTGATGTGAATGAGAGTCTAACTAATAGAGATGAAGGAAATAAACTTGAGTGATTCATATCAGTGATTAGTTTAAAGAATCATTTAAATTTTTTGAGTGTGTATAATTCACCGATCTCAGGCAATAATTGAAAATGTAAAGAATATTAGATATTTGTTTCATCTAAGCGGCCTGTTTGAATATCTGGGCTACCTGTTCCACCACCTAGATATTTCTTGTTTTTTTTAACACATCATTATGCATATTAGCCTCATAACCTATTCATGAGTGTTCGTGACAAGTTTACGACATTTCGCTGTACAAGTTACAAAAGAGCTCAATCAGAGAAATCCTGGTCGCTGGCAATATGCACCGAGGACAAAACACATTAATCAGATGTTGATTTCTGAACTGCTAACATCTAACGGGAGACCACTCAATACTTATCGGAAGGGTCGATTAAGAAATAAAGAAAGGAAACTTGTTGAAATTCTTTATGTTGAGAATTCTATATTTTACCTGAAATATAATATTGAATAAAGCCAATAATAATAATAATATAAGACAACTCAATTTTAGTGAGCGTTCATGACTACATTAATGTTCGAAACCAGGATATTTAGTTTAATCTCTATCCTAATGAATTGTAATCTGATGGTTTACATTGTCTATTTTCAATCAATCTGTACCCATCTATCATTGTGTATATCTGAAATCGAAAACGGCTGAACTTTATTCGTCAAAGAATATATATATATATATATCATAATGTATTTTAGAGCACTCAGATATAGATAAAGAGAATTTCATGCGTCATAATATGTTACCAAACATTTGTTCGTTCGTGCTCGTAAATGTGTATACGTTAAAACCTAAATGGCAGCGATCATGGAAATAACGATTTTGCCTGTTCACTGATTACAGACGAATAAGTTGAAGATGTTGCCTGATAGTGTACTTATACAAGTTTCGGTCAAACAATATAATAAGACCTACTTACTACTAGTTTCCGATACATATTAAATATTAATATATTAGTGTACATTTAACTCCGCCTGGAGTCTCTCTGAGCCTACTGCCTGTCCGAAGCCCCGATAAAGTAGGAGGGTTGGGCACGGGGTTACTGATCTTATCCCGTAAAAACTAACTCTCTAAAAAAATGCTAACCATAAAAAGTTATTCAAACTACTTAAGTGTACAGTCCGACGAAAAAATTTAGTCAGACACTTTTATACATGGAGTAAATACACAATAAAACTGGAAATTTTTACAAATCTCATATTTAATTGTTTAAATTTTTATTTGATCCAAACTAAGTCAAATACGACATTCGTTAAACATGACGTTAATCAATTTGAGTGTGTTAATTTTACGAATGATTTATTCTTTTAAGCTAGATGGGTTAATTTATTGTTTAAATAAGAAAGATTAGTTCAGCGAAGAGTTCTCTTTTTGGCGAATTCATTTTCAAAGCTGTACAATTGCTTTGAAAATAAATTCACCGAAAAGAGAACTCTTCGCTGAACTAATCTTTCTTATTTATGTCTTAATGGGTGTATTCCATTTACTTTATTGTTATCCCAAAAAAATACTTATCCAAGTGTGCAACTAGTATGTCAGTCAGTCAATCAATCAGTCAGTAACGACGTAGAACTTCGTACGTACGTACATCAGTTAGAGTTGCCACACCACATTAGAACACATATGCAGTGGTCGATTCAAATCCCGTAGTGGTAGAGGTAATAAGAGTATAAGTAGTAATCGGGAAGATTAGTGTTTGGAGATGTTACTTAAAGAGTATAATCCAGTGAAATAAATTTGGGAAGAGAAAAAAAAGAGACAAGGAGGAATAAGGAGATCAAAATTTGGGAGAACACAAAGAGTGTATACACCTGCGCCATTGCAAACGATTTTGAGCCATGTCATTCAGGGTCTCTAACCATCGGTTTCTATCATCTCGTGGTCCCCAACCGCGAGTATGTGTAAACATGACAATCTATATTAGGCTAAATATTTTAATAAGGATCAAGTAATTCATACAACTATCTTTGTTTTAAACAACATGGTTGCAGCACCTACATCTTCCTTTTTACAATAGAATTCGTAACTAAATGCATTTAACATATGAAATATTAAAGACTACAAGTGATTCGTCTCTTTTGATATATGTACATCTTGTCTAGATATTGTCATTTAATCACAAGTTTTTAATTAAAGTTAGAATAATGGCTAACAGTAAAATCCAGAAGGTATATATTTTATCCTATTTGAAACTCGTCAGGAACATCTAGTAAATGAATTGATTAACACTGTTAGATGCCGACTCAGTGGTCTATTGATTAAGCGTCCGCACATATAACCGACAGGCCCTGGATTCGAATCTCGTTGACGGGATTGTGGATGCGCATTACTGAGGAGTCCCAAACTAGAATGAAACGATCGTTCAGTGCTACCAAGTTCTCCATGATGGTCTAGTTTCAATCGATTCACGAATTCAACTATTGGAAATGAAAAATCACTGATTTACTCACAAATATAAAGATTTATTATTTTGAGAATAAATCAATAAAGAAAAAAACAATTTGTGTACATTATTATGTAAGATTAATCATGATAAATACGTATATATATATATATATATATATATATATATATATATATATATATATATATAGATATAGATATAGGTATATGTATATTATTCACAGTTTTATCTCAATGAATAGATACAACACGTTCCTGAGAACGAGATCACAGATTTTGTTTGTTTGATTAGGGAGGGGGGTGTTATTTGTTTTTGTTTTTTTTTCTGTTTTCGATATTTATTATTGAAATATGTTTAGTCAAAATTTTCTTTGCTTTACTTTATGTTACCACTGACGAAAACCAACAAAAAAGGGGGAGAAGAAGATAGAAATTTGAGGAGAACTAGATGAAATTAAAGAGAATAGTTGAAATGAATAAATTAAAAAAGGTAATTACTTATATATATATGTATATAGTTATTGTATTTGATGTTAGCTTTGAGGAAATGGTGTTATAAATGGCTTTGAACCAAGAAATATATCGTAATAATTAGGATTATCATTTTTATGTAATGAATTTTGTAAAGGAATAGATGTTAAAAAATTTGAATTTGTTATTGTTGTAGGAATTTGTTCTTTTATTGTTCCTGTTGTAGTAGTATCTTTTAATGAATATAAATAAGCTGTTGTTAAAATATTTTGCCATGCTTTATAATCTATTGATTTATTCATTATTGTATTATCGGTTGGTATCCATGGTAAATTTGATGATTGATTATGACTGATTATATCATTTAATTGATTATTTGAATTAGGACTAGAAAAACTACGAATCCATTGAGATAAATATGATTGAAATAAGTCTGAAGGATTGAATGGATGATCTGTACCATTTATTGGATGAGATTGTACATTATTATTACTATTATTATTGTTATTATTATTATCATTATTATTATAATTTACAGAACATACAGTAGTTGGAGTGTTGATTGTTGTCATTGACAAATTAGATCGAGTTAATTGTGATGGTGAAGGTGGAAATAAGAATGGCATAAATGAATGATCATTTTTAGATCCAATTAATAAACCATTTGATCTATTATTTTGTAATTGATTAGTTTCACAGTGTAATAATCTCATATTATCCTCTATAGAATTTGATTTTTTTGCATCATTTAAATTGAATGCTAATAAATGTGTATATACATGCATACATAATTCTGTATGACCATGAAATATTTGACCGCATAATAAACATGGAAATGTATTTGTTGTAGTTGTTACATTATGATTAGTTATAGGATTTAATTGTTCCATTGTATGTTGTCGATGAATTAAATTTGTACTGGTTAACCATTCTAATGTTCGTCGTTCATTATTTATACATAAAGGATTTACAGATTCATTATTGTCTTCTTTGAATAATGTATGATTATGATTATTGTTTATAATATTGGTAGTAGTTGTATTAGTATTATTATTATTATTAGGAGTAGTAGTAGTAGTACTAATTGTTGTTGTAGAAGGAATATTATTCGATTCAGAATTTATTGAATTAACTAATTTACCATAGAAATAATCTAAAAAACTACGAGCTAATTGATATGAGAATTTTTCATGGGTATCCTTGTTTGTTATTAGATTATTAGTTTCTTTATATTTAAATAATTGTTCATTATTTAATATGAAATTATTATAATTAGGTGATTGTATACGATTATTCATAATATTCGTTGTCATATTAGATGAGATATTTATATTAGGAGTATTGTTTAATTCATAATTTGAATGATTAGAATCATTATTATTATTAATATAGTTATTCATTGAATTTATAATAAATGAATAATTATTATCTTTTGTATATCGTTTAGCTAAAGGTGGTGAATTACACTCATCAGATGTATTAGGATACTTAGAATTGGAATTTGTACGTCGTTTCATTCGTTTCAATGAATTTTGATCGTGTTGTATATTACTATTATTATTATTATTATTATTAGTAGTAGTAGTAGTAGTAGTAGTATTAGTATGATCGGTACTATTTCTACTATCATTCCATGAATTTCGATTGTTTATTAAATGATTCGAATTTTTAAAACATGTAAAATTTAATTTTGGTGTTTCAGGTAATGAAAAACTTGATGATAAACGAGCTAATTGAGCAAGAGCATTTGATGTTTGATATAAATCATCTGATTTAATAAAATTATTATTAAATGATGTTAAATTAGATTCAGTTTTATTAGTTGAATGAATAGGTGGAAATAAAGTGGATGGAATAGAAATAGGTGATTGTTGTCTAGTTGTATTATGATTTAGTGCTAATGAACTGGCCACTGGGTCATTATTATTATTATTATTATTATTATTATTACGAGTTGTTTTACCGGTAGTATTGATAACTGAATTATTTAGCTCAGTACCTACACTTCCAGAAGTATTAGAGAAGTTCAACCTGGATGTATCATTTGAAGATAAGTATTTTGAAGTTGTATTTCGCTTATTAAAAGACGATGACATAACTTCATTTAAATTCATTACTTTAGGTTTATTTAATTTCGTAATATTACTATTATTATTACCATTATTATTATTATTATTATTAGTGGTAATTCTACCACTTGTGACAGGAATTGGACTGACAGTTGATTGTTTACGTATAGAATTTGAATTAGATGATAAAAATCTGTTAGAAGAATTTCCACAATCCATTATGTTACCAATATTTTGACAAGTACGAGCCAACATAGCCAAAGGACTTGGACCAGATGAATCACACTAAAATGTTTTGAAAAAGAAAGTAAAAATAGAGAAAATTAGTTTAGTCGGGATGTACAATTTTAACCTTATTATTTATTTATTTATTTATTTAAATGCATGAACAAATGTAAAAAGGGCCACTAAAATATACATGCGCCACATCAATCATTGAATTATTATGGGCTCTGGTATGCTACCCGAGCGCCTGGATCGAAACAGGTTTAATTCACAAGGCAGTGAAACAACGTTACGAGATGTGGTCCCACAGCGGCCGGTCACCAACAACAGATTATATATCCGTTTTTTCTCTCAGGGTCCTGCAACCTATATTTAGATTCAGAGTTTTCCGATTTCCTCAGTACTTACCAACCCGGTTTAAGAACAGAGCATTCGCATTTCGTAAACAATACATACATCACGAAAAAGTAGTGGGTAGAACTTTCCTGGTAGTTGCTATATACGCGTAACCGTAAAAGAATATTTTGAGAGGAAGGGTGGACACTCCTCACCATCAGTGGCACTAGGGCAATTAGAGACACTATTGTAACTGTTCTGATATTATTTTCATTCTTATTAAAAATTACATGTTACATTTTACTAAAGCTGATTAGGAAAAGCTTAATAATATATAAATGTCTAACATTCTAGTATCGACCACATATCATTGATCTGTACCATTTATTAAGGACATTGTGTAGGATAGTTTAGAATCCATCACAGTTCTTTATTTTGGAATTATTATTCTGTGTGTCTGGTCTCTTTAACCACTGCTGATACTAATAATAAATTCAGATAGATCTACTGATGTAGTGTTACAGCTTGACGCGAACGATAATTGAATAGATTCCAAGTCGACTATGACAATGTTGAGATTAATTTTATAAGTTTTCATAAAAATAAAATCTATGTGTAGGTGCTTTATTTGACTGTTTTGTATCTTAAACTTGTTTAGAAAATGTTCACGTTACAGTATACTATGATAAAACTCCATTCCAACATTAACTTGATGCTACGAATACGAATGAATGTCATTAAACTTGAGGACATTCTTTGTGAGTAATAAAGCAGCATATGAAATTCTGATTACAATAAAAACCATATTAAAACTTACACTAAAACAAGCTCCAAATTATCGTAATGCTCTTTGAATCATTTAGTAACTATGGCTACTAAATTAACTGGTGAATTGTTAAAATGTTTACAGTGTAATTTTTTAAGAAGACCTTATCTTTTTCATCAGACAATAGTAAATAAAAGATTAATAAACAGATTAAAAAAATCATTGGCTTAATATTGGGAATAGAAGTTGTAGTTCACAAACTCATTGAGCTCACTTTCATCATTCAGAAATAACACTGGGCTGTTGATAGTTATTTAAGTTTGAGTCAGTTTGGAAGTGTAAGGCTCGATAATACAAATTGATTACCTAAGCCGAGGTAGGTGAAATAAGGTTTGAACTTTGTACACTTTTAATGACAGTAATGAATTGATCATTAAAGTAGTAATTATCGTTTTGTTTATTAAATATCTTAGACATCTATCTGTTATTTACACATATTCACAATTTCTATGTTATATTAAAAATATAATTATGAATGAAGCTGATATCAATTTAGTTGTATTTCTATAATTCATTTGATTTTTAAAATACACTTCATATGGATATGTTTAGTCTTGTCAGATATTTAAATGTTAATATACGTATATTGATTGATTGCATAGTAGTGACCAATTTCACGTCCCATTAAGTGTATCAAGTCCCTTAAGATTACCGATCCATCTTGTCAACGAATGTCAGCTAACAGAATTTTCTATCAACCACATCCAACTACCTACTGCAAATAAATATACGTTATAAGAGATAGAAGTCGATGAAATTATTGAACGAGAGTATTTCAATCTTTAAAAATACTCTCAAAGTTGTTGTAAATGATACGCTTTAATAGAAAAAAACATTACTATTATCATTAATGACCAAGTATCTCTGACACCTTAGTAGGATATTGAAGTATCAACATCATAAATAACAAAATAGTTCAGATATTTTATTCATAAGTATATGTCTGAACATGATTCATATTTAAACATAATAAACTAATTAAAAGGAAAGATGGATAGTGGCTAGCAGTGGAATCTAGGAGGCGCGTTTCGTCCTGTCTGGGACTCGTCAGCTGGATGTACCTGCATCTCAGAGTTGATGTTCACTCTGGGACTCGAACCCAGTACTGTTCGCTTCAAACGCCATCGCGTTATCCACTTAGCTACTGTGTCCTGATAGCCACTTGCTTGTGCAGTGGGGTGAAGTTTAATTCAGTTGGTATTGTTTTACTTGAATCTTCCCATTGATGTTTTAGGACTGAAATTGATCATTCTCTTATTGGCATATTTGCATACTGTGCGCGTCCTGGATTCCACTGCCAGCCACTATCCATCTTTGCTTATAATGCTTGTAAATTAAGGCAATATCGAGGCATACGCACAGTATGCACATATGCCAATAAGAGACTGGTCAATTTCTGTCCTAAAACATCAATGGGAAGATTCAAGTAAAACAATACCAGGTGAATTGATTAAAAGAAAATTGAATATAACTAATGAATTGATACATCATGAACATTCCGCTACATTTGACCTTGATGAGAAGAGGCGGTTGTTCCTTCATTACACTTTCAAAATTTAATATTTTGTAGCTATAACAGATTTACTATGTACATAATCGAACATTCAACCTTGACCCATGTTTCTACTATTTTTGGGGGGGGATTTTGAGGTTTACTGATTATAACCGATTGACCTAACAGTAGTAAATGAAACGAAGTTGGAAATTACAATCTACCAGTTCTTAAATTAAGTGACAGAATGTATTTAGGAGTAAATTTCTACATTAATTTATACACTTTAGGCTAGATACAATTCACCCTTTCATTTAAACTTAAATATCTAATGTTAGATGTAATTAAGTTGGTCAAACAAGAAAATATTTCGAATAAACATAAAATGATAATTTAAAATCACTTCTTTGATCTCATAATAATCGATCGCATTTTGATATCAAAATTAGCAACATTACTGTTCAGGAGATGATTATTTTTCGACTGACAGATCAAGTAATGTATAGAAGACATTGTGAATCATCAGTTTGTACTTTGCACTACTATTGCTCTATTTTCTATAAACTATTGAGTAATCATAGGTGTTTTATGATTAACTGCACACTAGTTGGATGTCCAATGAAGTTGTTTATATCTCATTCCTACACTATGCATTCTCCAATTATTTTTGCTACTACCTATTCTCATCATAAAGTAACGTCTTACAATGGAAATATCATTCAAACTAGGTTATACGAAATGAACACTTTCCAAACTTTCATATAATGTAGAAATAAATGAGACGCTTTCAAGTGGACTTTGTAAATTTATTTATTTATTTGTTTGTATAAATATGAATAGAATGAGAAGGAACTTGATGAAGAAGTAAACTGTTTGTAGGTACTTGCGCTACCTTTAAATCTTCATACTGTATTATCTAGTTTATTTGCTTGTGAATATATTTTTTAACCTTTATGTTAGATGTGAACGAGGAATAAATGAATGGTAACTGCTAGGTATTATTAGTGGACTATCATTACATATATATTTTTATTGGATGATTATTATGTAACTATATTACGTTTATGTTCATATTCTTCTCCTTATAAGCTTTCATTTGATCTATTGGCAACTGTTACTGTCAAATATTTTGTCACAATGCACTCATTTAATATGACATATCGTTAAGGAATTAATGGGAGACAGTTGGTATACTAGTAAACTTCTGTTATTATCCCAGTTCATATAACCAAATAGTGTTAAGGAAAACTATGTAATAATTAGCTTAGTATATTCAATACTTTTATTTACTTTTAAATTATGATCGATGGTTATCTTTTATGTGTTTGCAAATAGCGTTGTAGATGAACTTGAATTTATTTCAAATGTTTCAGTTTAGTCAAACGAAGGAGTTGAATTGGTGAAAAGCTCAGTTTATTTACAAGTACAGATGAATGTTAGTTAGTAGCAGAATCCAGAATGCGCGTTTCGTCATGTTTAGGACTCAGTAGCTAGGTACATGATCTGATATTTGAAACAAACGGTACTGGCTTCGAGTTCCGGTGTGAACAACTCTGGGACTATGACATATTTCGATGCTCGGTCCTAAATATGACGAAATGCGTGTCCTGGACTCCGTTTCTAGTCACCAATCATCTCTGCTTATAATGCCTGTGATCTAATGCAATATCGAGGTAATCTACATGGGGTTCACATATTCCAATGAGAAACTGATCGATTGCAGTCCTGGACATCAGTGGGAACATTAAAACAACCAATACAAAAGTGAATTATCAAGTAAGTTAGTCATAAACAGCCAATGGTTCTGGAAAAAATATTCATTGCCTCAGTTTAGTGCGGCTCAGTGGAGTAATATACTAGCTGGATTTATAAACATCTACAGAAATTTTTCAAACTACCTCTTTGCTACAATGCAAGACATTAATTGCTACAATGCCAATAATAATACTCCAGTCACAAGTATTTCAATTAACCAATACAGAGAAAAACCATACATCTAGGAGATTTGTAGAAATTATTAAGTATTATTGAAATCAAGAACCAGCCGAAGTGAGACAATTTTTTAAAACTAAAGAAACGAACAGAAGTTTAGTCATAGTATCGGATTCCGAGGTAGCGCATACTCACGATGACAAAAGTAGATAGAATTCAATACCTTAGGGTCTTGCCGCAAGCGCTTAATCTGTAGACCAATGAGCTGGTACCCAACGGTTCACAGTTACGAATAATCGCAAGACGCACCATAGTTATTTTGGCAGGTAATTTACTCATCATTGTGATTAGTCGAAAATCAGTCTAATGATCCTTATTGTCCATTTTAATTTTAAGACTCGCATATTTAAGAAGAATACATGAAAAATTTTGATCTTGTTCTTCACTAAAATGACATTTTGATTAATACAATAA